CAGTGAAGAATCACGAATTCTCCTGCTATGTGGGGTTTTGAGCGCCAGGCAGATTTATATCTGTCTTCTCTTCGCCACCGCCCGAACCCATGTTCAAAAAGGTGTCCATGTCCATGGGGAAGCTCATGCCGTGATCTTGTGGGTTGTCAAGAGGTCGAGGGAATTAATGTCGAAGCCTTCCGTGCCATCAGGTAAAGCCGGATTCGACGATGGTTGGGCGTTCATAAGGTGTGACGTGGACGAGAATTGGGCCAACAAACTGCCTGGTGAAGAAACTGAGGTCGATTGGGGCAACACCGTAGCACCTCCAATAGCAGCTTCTGGAGGCATATCATCTGGAGTGAAATCTCCGAAAAGGTCGTCATCTGCGTTCATGTCGAAGTCGTTGTTTTCGTCTCCTGGTTGGATCTGGCCCCCGCCTTCGACGAGCGCAGGTGAGAAAAGGCCGTCGCGTGCGGTATTCGCAACGGCTGTCGGCACATGCTCACCTCCAAATAGGCTATTCATTTCGATGTCCATGGAGTCCAAATCAAGTTCGATGGGCTTGTCGGAGGAGTCGCCGAGGCCGACGCCTAAGGGCATTGTGGGTTGTTGAGCCATGGGACTCGGGAGAGTGAGGTCAATGGTATGGCCGTGAACGTTGTCGGGTGGAACGGAGGAATTGAAGGCAGCTATGAGGTCTGGAGGGAATTCGTTGGAACCCATGGGACGAGCGGATTTCGGTGCAAGTGTAACTGGCGACCCAAGTCCTTTGGAGAACATCGCAGCTTCCTCTTCTGAAATTCGCAGCGACGAGGAGGAGAGATCGAGTTTGAGCGGGAATTGTGGCCGATGGAGGGATGAAATTGAGATGACCGACGCCCTTCTGCTTGGTATTGGATTGACAACAGGCGAATTCCGCGGATTTGTGCTGGAGGCGTCTGACACATCCTTGTTTGTGGTGTCTGGAACTGGAGGAGGAAGCATCATAGCTTCAGCGATCTTCCGTTTTTCTTCTTCTGCAATACGCTGTTCTTCTCGACGCAAGTCTCTTTTCAGGACGCTAATGGCGCGAAGCTAACGGGAAACATGGCTTAAGTACGTGTATTCTCGTGTAATAAAATGTTGTGACTTGCAAGATGAGCTTCGATGGTGTCGCAAAGCTGGTCATATCTCTCGATATCGCGTCCGAGACCAGCTGTTAGGGAACGGGGTGGATTCGATATGTGCTTTTCGACACCACTGCACGTTCGGAAATGTCAACTTTGTTGAGTATAGCAGTAATGAGCACTTACAGTCGACGTGCGTCCGCGTAGAACCCATAAATCTGTCCAGCCTTGACCATAGCATCCTGCGCGATGTCTGTGAGACATGCGCTACAGGCGACGTGACATCGTCCATACCTGGAGGCAGCGTGAAAGAGCATTGAATTCCGGCTCCAGGATCTTGGGTTTCGCTACTTCAGCGGGCGGCGGGGGCGGAGGCGGGGGCGGAGGCATGGCCTTCGAGTCCTGTTCGGCGGACATGATGGACGGAAGTGAGAAGGTGTGGCTTTCCTAATCAGGGAGTGACATATCTGGGTGTACAAGTCTAGCTTCAGCATCGCTGAGCGTGAGTCTTTCGCGTACGTTCCTTCTTCTCGGGCTCATTCCTGTTGCAGGGAAACGCGCCTTGGACAGTCGCGCGCAGAAGCTCAAGGAGCGGGCTGAATTGCTTTCCATTGCCAGAGATTCCTTTGTGTTGCACACAGACGATGGCCCTACTATCTCCCATGAAAGGTACATTTTCATTTCGAGCTTCATGATGGCCTTGAGCTAACATGGCCCAAGGAATCGTCTGACAACCCTTCGAGAAGACATCCACTCCGCACAAACATCCCTTCTATCGACACTCGCTACAATCTTTCCCATCGAACTCTATTCGCCCCCCGATCTACTCTTCACGATATTGGACGTTCCCTTACCTATTCCGTTATCCTCCAACGATCCAGGACCCCCTTTGAGTTTACCAGACCACAAGGACGTCACAGAGGATGCAGTGGCGACCGCTCTTGGATATGTGGCCCAAATCCTGCAAATTCTCGCAGGATACCTGGAGAAGAATCTGGTCTACCCCGTGACTTGCATTGGGAGTCGCAGTCTAATAAGAGACGGCATTTCTGCCATGGTCGGACCTCGGATGTGAGTTTTGTGCGTCTCATTAATCTGTCGCTCAACGAACAGCCTGCAGGTTTCCTTTATTCTCGAAAGGCGTTGATACCTACCGATTCGAGTATGGAGTGTTCCTATTGAATAAAGATATTGAAATGGTAAATACATCGAACTGTAATCCTGCTCTGCAATTTACCTGACTCTGCAGCTTATGGCCGACCGCGATTTGCGAGCGTTAGA